CCTTGCACCCCAAGGTGAAGTTTGGGAAGGAAAAATGCTAACCAGGCTGTTTTGCCAGATCCTTGGGTGTGTATTGGGTGGCCTGTGTTGGTGCTGCCTGGCCACGTGCTTTGGTACCAACATGTTCTGTGCTTGGAAGCAGTTGGTTAATTTAGGAGCAAAGCTGATCGAGTTGAAATTCAATCAATTCCTTATCTCAGGCTTAAATCAATATCAATTAATTCTAAAGTATGGGAGGGTCCATAGCACATGCATCATGCTGGTTTCTTTTTGTTTTGGTAGGATCCAGCAAACTGAGTGAACGTGGAGGAAAAACTTGAAAACAAAAAGGAAAAGAGAAGGAAGGTACCAAGCACCTGGATGGGGGAAAAGGAAGCGACAAGAGAGGAGGTAGTGTAGGGTTAATAGTGAAAGGGGCACGATCTGTTCCTCAGAAACATCAACTCCATAAACATCTATCTACAGTAATTCTGTGTTGGAGTAATAATTATATAATCATGACCTTGAGATGAGCTATTGCAGAACTCACATAGATGTTTCAAGACCTGACGGCCTCTGAGCATGGAGAGACCTGTCAGTAGCAGAGAGGAAGGGCTTTGATGAGTTGTGCGTTAGACTGACATAGAAGAGGACATGAGAAATGGTGACTCTTTCCTTGGGGGAGAGAAGGGGACAATTCTGCTCTGATTTTTTCCACCTCCAAGGTTTAAGGCAAATAAAATTCTTGCTGGCAGTCAGTTCTGCTGCAGGAGTGGCATCATCCCTGAGAAGAGCTGCCTCTCGATGTGGTTGACAGCTAAAAATATATGTAAGGAAGGGAACTCTCCAACGGATGCTATGCAGGGCACCTGCACTGTCACCTTACTCACCTTCATCCATTACTGGGTTGTCTAGAGGGAACTTTTGGTTAGTTGGTCTGATGTCACTCACGGACAGAATTCGGGGAAATGTGATAATGAGATCTAATTAATAAAGAACAAAATGATGGAATATAATTAATACCAGTCAAGAAGGATTTAGGGAAAATGGGTCTTGTCAGACATTTTTTTTTCCTCCAAGTTTTACTAGAAGCAGGTATCTGGGTAAATGTGGTAAGTATGTAAGGGTTTTGTCCTAGAACAACATGACCCTAAAAAGTGTGATAGTGATAAATAGATTAAAAACTTACTTCAGATTTCAAAAAGCAGTTGTCAAGGAAAAGCCTCAAAGGCAGGAGGCTCTTTTGAAGGCCTGGTGCTATTCAGCGTTTTCATTTGATGTGGAGCAAGCATGAATTTAAACCTCACTCAATTCACAGGCAATATGCACATTAGAAGGATAGTAAATATATCGAGGGTGGGAGAGTTGTGTAGAGCTGTCTGGAATTTTTGCTCTCTCTCTTCAAATAATATGTGTTTTCTTAGATCTTTTTTTAATATAATGTTCTACAAGGTCATACCAGCAGGACAGGCAGGGATGGCACAGCATTCAGGCGAGGTGTGATGCTACGCCAAGAGCTTACTGTGGTCTCCAGAGATGCAAGCAGAAGCAGTGAAGATGAGATTACAAGCTGATTTTTACCTCTGTACGTGTTTTTGCGCTGAAACGCAGTCTCCAATTCTACTGTGCATGTTCTCAAAAGGGCATTTAAAACCTGGGGAGATCATTAAAAAGATTCAAGGGCAGGAGAAAAAAATGCCAGAGCATGAGAAACACAAAGAGCTGAGTCTGTTTAGCTTGTCAAAAAAGATTGAGAGATGACTTGGTTATACTGCAGAAGTCTTCATAGTGAGAACACAAAGCAGCCCTTGCGGTGGAGAAGGGTGTTAAAAACCCTGACGGGTGAAAGCTGAAACCAGACAAACCTAAGTCACATCTTGAAATGTCAGGTAGTAAAATAAACTGCACAGGCAAATGGCAGATTCTTCATCTCTCGATATCTTCAAATCCAGAGTGGATAGCTTTTTAGAAGATATTCTTTAGCCAAACATAAATTATTTGGCTGAACAGAGCAAAATCTTAAGTGCCTGTCAACACAGAGAACTTGGCAAAGTGTCTGCTGGTCCCTTCTGGTTCTTGGCATCTGCAAGGTGCTGTGTATCTTCATCCTGGATATTTGAGCAAAAAATTTCTTCTTCCCAAGGTCATTCCGAAGCAGAATCTGCTCTTCAGCTGCATGTTGCGCTGCAGGCTTGACCAGGTGCTTAACCTTTGTCGTTTACTGCTTAATTGGAAAAGGTGCAGGGAATAAATCTGGTGACACTGCAGAAAACGTCGATACTGCTCTTACTTGTTCCAGATACCGCGAACAAGTAAATTAAGACAAATGGTTTTTCCAAGCAACACCCACATAGACGCATGTCACTTACTTTCTTGATTTGCAAAGGTGTTGAAGCACAACGTTTCAGTTACAGGAGGAGGCACAGCCCCTGTGCGATGCTCCATGCTGGCCAGAGAAGGTTGCTAGGAGGTGACTGTTGTTTGTGAAATGTTTTCAGTCCGCAGATGAGCAGAGCAGCTATGCCCACATTGATTTCCTTTCTGTGCTGACCCTTTCCAGGTGTGCTGCTCCTGATCCACCCTTCTCTCCCAACTGAGGGAGTTAAACCACTGTATTTTTGTTACATGCTGACTACACGTAAAGTTTGACTAAAGGGCTTATGTGCATGGTTTAGGAACCTATATCCCATTTCTGATGGCATCTCTGGTGATTACGCTGATTTTTTTTATCCTGTTTCAGTCTTGACTCTGGCCGCAGTGGCTTGGGATCGTGTCTTTCTGGTAAAATAGGTTACTTCTGTTCTGTTCAAGAGAAACTTCTGGCAAAAAGAGACTGTAGGGGAGGAAGGCTGGAGAAACCTTTCTCCAGAATAATGCGAGATGGTTTGTGAGATGCAGGAGTTGCTGTGCATCTCTGGAAGAGGAGGGAGGCATGAAGGATTCTGGTCATCTGTTCCTGTCGTCTTGTTTTCCAGAGTTTTATCATTTTGATTTTTTTTTTTTTTTTTTTTTTAATAAGACTCTCCACGTGTCATTATCAGCAATACTAGAAAACCACCCACTCTGAAAAAGCCAGCAGTTCAAAGCTGTGCAGGTAGTACTGCAGCTGAACCTGCCCCATGCCAGCTGAATCGTTTCCGTACAGTGCTCTGGTGCTACCCGTCTTCTATGGTGCTGCCTTTCCTTGGGTTTGGGCTCGTCTGCTTTATGTTGTTAGCTTTGAATCAGGAGCTGGCTTTAGAAAGCAGCAAGCCACTTGGGTTACTTAAAGCCTTGCTCTGTCCCAAGCCTCTCGTTTCTTGCCAGATGTGGATCCATAGCCTTCTAACTATGAATGTCTCCAGGCATGTCGCATTTGATTGGGGAAATAAGAGATTTTTTTATTTTTTTTTTAAATAGATGTTGTGTAGTTGGGCAACGGAGCATTTTGAATTTGTGTGCTACGTTTATGTCATTTGCTGCTGTGGTTGCCTACCAAGGCCCTGGTAAGGACTAACCCCTAGGAGGTGCAGAAGGATGAGTGCCCTGAGAGTGCACACGTGAAGGAGGGATGGGCACTGATGGATGTAGATGACTGAAAGATTGTTTGTGGAGGTGAATGTGAGACAAATTAAATGGACCATCAAGTCTGCCCGCAAGGCTGTGGGATGCTCTCTGAAAGGAACCTAGAAACCCCATCAGAGGATCCAGCAAGTTGTACAAGGCTCTTTGAAGGTGCGTCAAAGGGAACTGTTTGGCAGTGGTTGGGGAAGTAGGTAAGGCTGTTTCACGAGGATTTGCTGCTACTGATGCCTGTATTGTTATTGTTGCCTGAAGGTTTGGATTTTGAAAGCACATTAAAAATATGTTTTATGTTTGTGTAACTTCCTGATTTATACGATGTGCTTCTAGGCACACAAACAATACAAACTGTAGTTAATGGTAACCCAGTACATGCATATTCTACGCTCCTAGCCCATAGGGACATGCATCCACATGCTGCACCAAATGTGGGGACAGCCGCTGGTACAGAGCCCTGGGGCCAACATGTTTACCCAGTTGGAAACCTCATGATACCAGAGGAAAAGGGACTTTATAGCTGAGTTTATAGAAGATTTTTTGCCTTTGCATTTCAGTGTAGGTATAATTTGAGAAGTAGGATAGGAAGCATTTCTGATATCTTACTGTTGGTTTTCTTTTGTTTGTTTTTTGTTTTTTAAAGTGCCTGTTCACACCAAAATCCAAAGAAAAGTGTTTTAGGTCAGGCAGCTTGCTACACAAGTAAGTGTTCTGCATCTTTTAGACAGGTTCTTAAAGATATCCTCATATTGCCAAAATAGTTGGGAAAGACTTCTTTAGTGCTTGAGGATCCTGAGTTCTCTAGGCTCAATAGCTGGGTTGTTCCTTCTCCAAGGTGGTACTCAAAAAGCTGGTGGGTTTCTGAGAGCACCATGGGTTAGGGGTTTGTTGCCTGAATCCAGGTTAACGGATGGGCACTTTTAAAGGATTTAGATAATTCTGCTTTGTTCGGAAAACTTGTAGCAGATGTGTTTCAGGATGAGTGCTGTATGTGGGATGAAATCTGGAGCTTCCTAATACCAGCTAAAGCAATTAATAGTAATGGTATTCGTTACATATTCATTACATAACATGGTTTGTTCTGAGAAACAGACTGCTAGAGACGGCGGATGAAAATAGCAGCTGTTAATTTCATAGGGCTGAGCCTCTGAAGACTGCACCCAGGAGGAACCAGAACCTACTTAATTCCCTTTGCGATCTGGCCGAGGGCAGGTACAAAAGGGAATTGTCCTCCTCCAGGGTTTTCTACTCCTGGTGCGATTCCAGGTGCCACTAGGGAACATTTTGGCTGTGCCCAACTATTCCCATGTGGCCCGTCTGGGAGGGCTCCTACCTTCACAGCACCTCTGGTGCTGCCTGGCCCTTTCCTTCCCTCTACCCCCTCGATACTCACCAGGAGCTGTGGCTCTGCTGCTCCGCACAATCTCAGGCAGCAACGTGGGATATAGGAAACGTTTCGAGGCATGGTCAGGCTCAGCTCTGCCTGCGGTTACTGCTGCTGTCTTCCCGAACTGGGTAGCTCCACGTATAGCCAGCTTGTGTGCTTGCATGCACCTGCGCCCGATGCATAATTAATTGCTACAAATGGTTGGGGTAGGTAGGGCGGTATGTATGTTTTGAGTTTCTCCTGGGCCCCGGCTTGCTGGAGCACTGGGTTTGTTCCAAAGGTGACTGGGAGCTGCTGGTGAAGCAGCACTGAGTAACGAAACACTGCGTGAGTGCAAAATACTGCCCGGCCAGATGCCAGGCTGATCTTCTGAAAGACTTCTCTGCTTCTCCTTGACTCTGTCACTGTAAAAGGCTCTGGGAACAGTAGCTGACTGTCTTCTCTCCCCTTTTGTTCCTAGATGGGGATGGTCGGAGACTGAAAGGAGCCATCCAGAGGAGCACAGAAACTGGGCTGGCTGTGGAAATGCCCAGCCGGACCGTCCGTCAAGCCAGCCATGAGTCCATTGAGGACAGCATGAACAGCTATGGATCAGAGGGAAAGTAAGTCATTGGAAGGGAGCTTGAGTAATCACTGTTCTTCTTATACCTATTAATTTTCCTCCAGTATGATAGATGATGTGTTTGTCTGACTTGCCTATGCTGCAGGTGTACTGCCCATTCAATTAGAGTGGATCTCTCTACCTGCATAGCTGACACACACTCTAGCTGTTTTTATACTTTTTTAGTGTCCTCATTATTCTGAGCTGAAGCAGATACCCATTACTTTTAACCACTTTGCCTTTAGAAGAATAATTCAAGGTGAATAGCTGAGGCTCATTACTGGTGTTAAATTAAAAGCCAGTAGTCTTTAATGTTGAACCATAGCTGTCCAAATGCCCTATTTCAAGATAGCTTTTTGGGTTGGGGGAAAAAAAAAGTGCCAAGGTGATGAAAAGGATGCATGTAGCAAAATAATCATTCTGATACCAAAATACATATTTAGAAGCCTGTGTATACTTTTGGTAACAAGCTTTCTTTTGTTTCATCTAAGTTAGTGTCCTACAAGAATGTATTTTAGAAACGGTCTTTGACCCCAAGCCCACTTTGCTGCACTTAGGCTTTAAGCCAGAATGCAAAGCAGGAGATCCTTAGGGCAGAATTTTGGGAGCTGACTTGTCTCCAATTCTCGTTTTTGTATTTGCATTATTTGAAGCCATATATGGAGATTATCATTATTTTATTAAGATGACCATTCATGGGAATCTTTAGAGTCAAAAAAACCCCCAGTATTTAACAAAGGGGGCAATATATACTATCAGATTCCACGCTTCTAGGTATTGAGGCCAAAATGTTTGTATACCTAAAATGTGCTCTGTGTAAGCCATGTACCGCACTTGGCATCGCTCTGTACACTTTCTAGTCCTACGTGGTATTCCAAGTACACCGTACTGCTAAAATGCTGGGATATATCCAAAGGCACTCTTGATTAATGTGATTCTGGTGTTAAATAAGTAACAGGCTGTAAATTAAGAGAGACTTTCTTTAGCTTTAGAAGTAGGCTAACCCTGGGAAGACATCACAGATCTGTGCTGAAGGTTGGAAATAGTAATGAGGCACAGACTGCGATAGCAATCTTGTCACTCCGAAGCCGTGATGTACCTTATCTCTTCTGTGAGCTGCTGTCTCCGGGGAAATATT